CAATGCTCTTTTGTCTGCTGAAAGATCTTCAGTTTTGCCCACACAAGCCCTAAAAGTAGAAAAAATGATGCAGCATGCTAAAACTCCTGATCATTTTCACCTACCCACTGAACACACATTGTTTGCATCTGCTGAAACTGCTCCAGCCTTGGATAAAATGAAATCACTAAGTATACTAACATTTATTAATGTAAGAAAAATTTCATAACCCAAGATCTGCTACTATGTATTCTAAAAAACTCAAGAGAGCCAAGATCCAACTTTTAATGCACTTAAAACTAGCAGCTCTGCTTAAAAGTCAGTATAACATTAATTACCCATTACCTTTGAAAATAAGTTCTTAAATTTGCTTCAAACTGCATATAAAGAACACAATCTTCAACTGAGAGGAAGTATTTTTTTCATTTAACATAGAAAGGAATGACACTCTCAGCGGTTTTTAGTTGGTGGTATTTGAACTATGATCTTTGATTTTGTCCTAGAATTCTTCACATACCTTTTAAAGCCCCAGAAGTCCTAGGTGAGCACATCACAGTCTTTTCTTTCTAATTAAGGTCCCTCTTCTTCAAACACCTTTCCATCTTTCTCTAGTGAAACACTGAGCTTGTTTCCCAAAACCATTATCCAGAAATTTCTTTGTCCTCAGTTACAAAATCTCATTCATCTCCCTTCAAACATTTTTTGGTTCTGAAGAGCAGACAAGAACTTCCAGAAAGTGCAGAATGTATTCACTTCTTGCTGGTTTTGCCCATCTTAAACCTATTTGCTTCTGTGTGCAATTCTGGCTAAGCCTTGACAGATATTCACAAGTTAGCAAGCCACCTTTTGTATCACAATATTAATTATAAAATAAAACAAGGTTTTAAATAATAATATAAATGTCTGAAGGATGGGAGAAACATCTTCTGAAATAATTATTTATGTCCACTGAGTATAGATCAGGTGTGCAAAGCTGTTCACCATGCCTACACTGCAGACATCTAAGGTTAAGCAAGATGAATTCTACTGCATACACCACATTCTTGGTCCACTCACCGGGATCAGAAGGTACTGCAGAGATATTTTCATATAACAGAGCACATTAGGCTATTTGACTAAAGGCTAAGCCTTTAAACAGAAAGCCATGGCAAGGATCAGAAGAACAGTTAGTGAAAATTGAGTGCAGAGACTCACTAGTCCTAAAAACATGGAAGGGGAACAATCCAGATCACTGCTCTCCTGGTGCAAAACCCACTAAACAAGAATAGGAAATTCCCTAGCAAACTGAGGGATTACCTAAAGGCTTATAAGACTTCTTACATGATACAGGGGAATAAGAATTTAGGGACAGAACAGAGAGAAGTTAGGGACTATGTAAAATTTATTACAGATTTTATTAGGGGATTGCAGCAATGTGCAAATCTTACTCTGGGATGTTTAAGGGAACCACCCAAGGTGTTTTTCCTTGTAAAGGGCTGGACTAAGGTAGACTGAAGAGAAAGAGGCATGGAAAAGCCAAAGACAGAGGATAAAGGG